GCACTTCAGTGATCAGGCTAACGGGATTACGTAATCAGGACACAGAAAAAGTAGTCCCTTACAGTAACGTTAAAAATAAGACGTAATCAGACTGCTTAACACAGGGGTCTCAAACTCAATTTGTGGTGTGTGTGTGTTTGTGTGTGTGTGTGTGTGTGTGTGTGTGTGTGTGTGTGTGTGTGTGTGTGTGTGTGTGTGTGTGTGTGTGAGAAAGCGTTTCCTCACACGGTGGTCATGACTTTGAGCGACCCCGAGCGGAACCTGAGGATCTTTTTCTTGAGGGCGTGCGAGGCTTTGATCTTGACGAAGGCTTTTGGTTGGACGTTGACGTTGGCTGTGGTCTTGGGTGAAGGGGATGAAGAGGAAGATGAAGAGGCCAGACGAGGCGGCAGCTGTTGGGGCCAAACGAGACCCCCGAAATCATCTGAGTCACTGGACAGGGAGCTGGAAGCCGGGGAGTAAACTTCGCTCATGCTGGACTCGGATTCTGCGGGGCCGTTGTAGCCCTCCTCGCCCCGGCAGAGCGGCGCCCTCTGCTGGAAGTCCTGCTGCTGGGAATGGGAACAATGGCGAGCTTTTCGAAGTGCCCGTCTTATTCCCGCTGCCGCTTCCTCCCCTTCATCCTGGCTGAGCTCCAGGTTGGAGCACCAGCGCCGGCTCTCGTTGCCGACGCCCCCCTGAGGTCCAGGAACTCGGGTATTCTGGTCCGTTTTTCCTTGGTGCCTCTCGGTGGTGCTGTACCGGCGCTCGGGCAGAACCCTCTGACCCAGCAGGCTGTTCTCAGACTGGGATCTGCTGGTTTTACTGCTGGATTTCTTGGGTTTCGGCCGCTCGTTGTGGCTCTTCTTGGAAGTTCTTTCCTTGGAGTGCTGCTCCGAGTTGAAGTGTCTCGGGGACGCTTGGCCCGCCTGTCCGGGGATGAACTGAGCACCAACTGAACTGTGTTTGTGAGGATGTGAGTAATGATGCTGGGGGGATGGGGGCTCACAATAAGGGTCACGAGGCCCAACACCACAGTTGGGGTCCAAAGAGGGCAGAGGTGATGGTAGTCTCTCGGCCAGGGAGAGTGGTCTGGACTGGGGGTAGGGCAGAGCCAGATAGCAGTCCTCCTCGAGAGATGGAGCCTCTTCCCCCTGCAGCAGGTCGCAACCCCAGCCCTGGCTCTGAGAAAGGTCAATATTTGGCAGCGGATGCGGGTCAGGAAAGCGCTGCTTCGAGGAAAAGGAAGGATTTCTCTTGCGTAGGGATGTGTAGTACTGGGGGTCGGGGGTCAGGGTGGTGCGAGGCCAACAGTGCCGTGATTTGAGGGTGTAGCGGTGAACGAGACTCAAGATGTAACCCTCCACCCTCACGGCCCGCTGGTATTCCTCCTCTGAGACCTGGTACTCCTGCCAGGCGTCCCACTGCCAGGCCTCCTCAGCGATGCCCTCCAGAGGCGGGTACGGGGCGGAGAAAGATCGGGTTAACGAGGTGCGAAGGACGGGCACCTCCACGTCTCCGTTCAGCATCAGGGGGTCGTCTGATGACAGAAACAATGCTGTTTATGGTAACATGATGGGGAAGGATTATAACACATAAACACAGCGGTGCTGGGATGATGTATTTCTGTGTTGGACCCTGAAGGCAGCATCTCCCTGGTCCAATGGGATTTCTCCATGTGATTTGGGATTATTGCATTAAATAAATCAGCAGGATAATCTCCACATATTAACACTACTTTATGATTTTTTAAGTAAAAAGCTAACATTAGGCAATAAAGGAACTACAGCACGGTCACATGACTTCACATATATCCACCAGGTATGACCAGACAGGTATTCAGGCTTACAGACTTCATTAAGCCCTCCAATCCAACAGAACACACACACACAAATACATAACAACACCATCAACTGGATGCACACCAACATGACCATTCTCCAGCAACACTACAACACTACAATTACATCACT